GCCGTAGCAAGATTAGGACCAGGAGATGTAAAGTAGTTGTTGTAAATCTGACACATTTCATCGGGTTTTGTGAAGGGGTTAATTCACTTATTTAAGAGTTACTGGTGAATTTACGATATGTTAACTCATTGACTGATCTCCACATTCCCTTCGGATCACCCATGTTTTGCTCCAGTTATGAGTTATAGTAATTAACTTTTGCCATATGTCTCGTTGTATATTCATGTAGTCTATTTCTTTCTTTTTTGTATTTCTCCCCTATAGATGGAAGTTTTGTTAATACGGCTTGCATTTTTAATCTATTCCTACCTGTAATCGGGCAGCTTCCTCAGCAGGGGCACCCGACGTCAATTTTCGGAAAATATCTATTCGGAAGACGATTTGAGATCTAGAATTTTCGGAACATTGGTTGTCAAATTTTCTTGCTTGCCTGCCTCTCCTAGGATTTTCGAACATCTAAAAAATTGTATAATTGCCCGTTTTTAACGGATTTTTACTGTAAAAAGGTCACCTAGAATTTTCTGGAGCCTTTTTTCTGGCTGAAATTTTCGAAAAGGTGAGTTTTGATCCCTATACTTTTCGGATCACTAGACTTTCTGCTAGGAAATCCGAACAGATGAAAAATTTTTAGGGGATAAAAATATGCCTATATCTACCGTTTAAATACTAAAATACGTTAAACAATGCTATGTTTAAGTGGTTTTGAACTATATTCTCGTTGGGTTCCCCTGTCTCAGGAATAATCTAAGGGGATTTTTTATTTCTTACTCTCCGCGTTCTCAAGGGAGCATAAACACTAGTTGTTTAAGAACATATTTTCCCACATTTCAACCTTTTCTTTGGGGGTAGACCAATTTCTTAGACTATCCCATGGGGCTGACTTGAGGTCTTCTCTGAAAGCATTTGCATTAAAAGATTAAAATTTTTGAACGAACGAGTTGTCACGTGCTTATTAGTGTTATAGATTGAATCGCGAACTTACGAACGGCATACACCATACTATGGTCACTTTTGCCGATATGCACCACTCCTTAGTTTAGATCCTGTTTGCGACGAAGAAAGAACTTGAGGACTTTTGCCGACGGAAATCTAATTTTGAAGTTAATCAAGATCATGAAACTTGTGTAGTAGGAGATAGAGGAGGCACAAAACTTTGGGCTAACCCTTAGAAATCTGTCATTGTTTGAACAGGGTACAATGTCTACAATTAACACACGATTGTGACAAGAAAATAGACAGTGCGATGGCAATACAAATGGTAATAACCAGGGCCTGTAAAGCGAAGTTGACGATATATCTACACAATTTACTCCAATTCTCTCCCTCCTTCCATCCCTGACATTAAATGGACCTCCCCCCACCCCCTCCACCGCCTCCCCCCACCCCTCCTGGGCTCCGCGATGTTCTGCGATATACATCATAGTTAGTATTATCATCGTCTAAAAAGCCTAAAATTTTCTAAAAATTCCATAAAAAATAAATCTGGATCCCAGCCGGGCAATTAGTTCCAGGCTACCGGGCAAGACGAAGCCGTGACGAAAATGAGAGATGAGTGCAGGCTCGTTTTCCCGAACAGCGGCTACCTATTTGACAAGAGATCTGGGTGCGAGATGAAACAATTAGGCCAGAATCCACATTAAAATTTGGAAATCCCAGTGAGGTTTAAATAACAAAGCCTTCAAAAGCCTANGATCCCAGCCGGGCAATTAGTTCCAGGCTACCGGGCAAGACGAAGCCGTGACGAAAATGAGAGATGAGTGCAGGCTCGTTTTCCCGAACAGCGGCTACCTATTTGACAAGAGATCTGGGTGCGAGATGAAACAATTAGGCCAGAATCCACATTAAAATTTGGAAATCCCAGTGAGGTTTAAATAACAAAGCCTTCAAAAGCCTAAATTTTCAAAAGGAAATAAAATCCTAAAGGATTCTGTTAGTTGTAGTAAAATGACGCCACGGTGCAAATGGCCTGTTCAGAAGATTTGTTCTTCTGAAACTTTTCTTAGACTGGAAGTCACAAGCAATACAAGAAATCACAAGGTACAGAACTCAGGGCCATTTACGGCTGACAAGGCCTGTAATGGTTAAAGGTGGGCAGCCTTTGGATATTTGTTCGTTATTTCTTCTACTAGTAACTCTTGTAAACAGACAACTCTGCTAATTAACATGAGTAGCTTGGGAAAAAATACTTCTAAGTGGCTGCAGACATTTGTGCGAGGTACGTCTTAGACTTTGTTTGTTTCAGAGCTGGCATAAGCAGATAATATAACATAGTGCTGAAAAAAGCCACTTATCAATGCTATTTTGTTCTCAGACCACAAAGGGTCATTCCTACTTTAATCATAACTGCAACAAAATTCTCAAATCTGATTGGCTATCATCTGTCCTGATTTAAGCACTAACAGGACAGTTCGTGTGCTTGCATTTATGGCTTGTTTTTCAACGCTAGTGAAAATGCCTGAAACATCACAAATTTTGTTATAGTTATGATTTATCGGTAACAGAACATTGTGTTGTCTAATTCAGTCTGTAATCATACTTGTGATTGAGCAAGTCTAAATTGGACTCCACCCAGTCTTATAACCATTATATCAATACAGCTTCATTGCATACAACAACAAAACTAACAATAATAGGTGCAGTCTTACTAGACATCTTACTCAAGGCTCCCCATGGAGAATAGCTTTGGTTGGGTTCACTCTGGGATTTGATCATTTTCATATTTGTAGTTACACAACAATAAATTCCCCAAGAGGAAAAAACTTGAAGGCGGTTTTGTGGGAAACGTCATTGTAAGCATTGAAGGCAAACATACATCATAAACTGTTTTGACCATTTTTAATTTTACTTTTAATGATCTAATATATGCCCTCTCTCAAATTGATGCCTCTTGCCTAATATCAAATGCCTCTCCTATGCTTTTAAGATTGTATTAGACGGCTCTCTCTAATGAACAGACCCTGTCTAACAGATGGCGATTACTATAAAATAAAAACTTAAGGAGCAAAAAGTGTTCACCATGCTACAGTCAGGAGAAAAGATGCTTTTCTCTTTTAAATGCCTCCTATCTATTAAATGCCTTCTCTTGGAACCCTGAAATACAATAAACATTGTGGGCTGCTATTAGATTATTCACAGTATATCATTTCCAAAGAGAATAGCTAACCGGGCATTAACCTGAGAAAACAGCTAACATTTCAGAATTTGCCACAACTTTTTTCCCTGCAAAATAATGACTGAGAAGGGAGCATAGAAATTCTATACTAATGACATGTTACTGTCTGGGTAGTATTTCTGATTGGTCATTCCACAAGGGAATTTGCCTCAACCAATCACAAGCACTTCTACCCAGATGTGGGTAGTGTCACATTGTAAACTAGAATTTCTGTTCTCTGTTCCACAGGCATCATTTTGAAGGAAAAACCACAGCAGTTGCATTATAAAGTGTTGGCTTTTTCTCAGGCTAGTCAGCTGTAGGATAACTACAGAGAAACCACTACCCTGGTCCCAGAGGTTTTTAATTTCAAGAAAAACCTCTGGGACCAGGGTAAGAAACCACTTTCATTTATTTAATAACTTTTTATTTACAAGCAATACCTTCACAGACATGTCAAATTCAGGTAATGTTCGCTTAAATCAGAAGGCCTATGTGACTAATAAACAACTAATAGCTTCCTAAAGCAAATATGCCTAAATGGATGACTAATAATAATCACTAATTGACTCTTTAGCCAAATTAATTAATATAAATAAGCTCTAGAATAAGATTTTGTTATTGAATGCGCAGCTACTCATGGTTGCTATACACGCTGGGAAAAAAAGGGGTAAAAATCGGCCAAAAGTTTGAGTGGGGGCGTGATAGGCACAAACATTTTTGGAGTTCTTGGGGCTATAACTTTCTTTCCTTTAAGGGCATGACACTGAAATTAATACAGGCAAGAATAGTTCACTCCAGGAAAATTTTGGAATAGGCGTTTTGTTGGTAAAGAGTCACGTGACCCTCTAGTGGCCAATTAAAAAATCAAAACTCTCAAAGACTTCTCCTCCAAGAGAATTAAACGCGAAAGTGTGATACTTTGCAGAAATATAGTGCACATAAAATTGAAGAACTTGTCCGATTTGAAATCTCAAATTTCATTTTCGTGACGTCACAACTGATGACGTCACAAAATGGGCTTTTTGGTCATGCGCAGTACTAACCCAAAAAATAAGACAAATACAAAGTGAAAGTCTCAACTCATTATCTTCTATAGTTTAAGACATATTTGTAACATTTCACGCCTATTTTTAAACAAACTTTGGACACATTTTGTGGCCGATTTTTAGCACTTTTTTTCCCAGTGTGATATTGATGTTGTTTGTCTCCATAACAATGAACAAAATTTTCAAGATACATGTAATAATAATACATGTAATATTATTAGTTTGAGACATTCAAGGACCTAAAAAATTCACTTTTTGTTAAGAGTTGTGTAGTTTTGAATATGATTTGCTTTAAATATATACTGAAAGATTCATTGTTTGTTCTGCAGCATAAAATAATAGAATCTGAGTAACATCGTTCCATACAGTTATCATTGATAACATGGATTCAGTAATCTTGAATTTGAGCCAATTACCCTGGTCATTTTCTTGGTTGTGTTACTTGTTGCTTTCTTGAATTTGTGTGCTTCTTCTGTGGAATCGACATCAGCAGTACAACCACATTCCAGGACCTAAACGGACAAGTTTCTTCCATAATGCTTTAGAGCTTACAGATAACATGGGGCAACTGTTGTGTGAAATACTGCTTAACAATGCTCTCACGTATGGGCCAGTGTTTGTTTGGTGGTACTTTTTTCACCACTTGTGGTAATATCCAGTCCTGAATTCATAAAACATGGCATTGCGACCTTGAATCTTCCTAAAGCACCTTCAACATATGTTACAGTATAGCTTATTTGTTTGGGAGGTATAGATTTTTAGGCTCTGGTTTATTTACTCAACTCAAACACAAGAAATGGATGCATCAAAAACGTTTGTTAAGCCCAGCATTTCATTGGGGCTACTTGAAAGGTCTGGTTCCACAATTTAACTCTGTAGCCAGTTCCTTGGTCACCAAATTAATGGACATTGCTGATGGAAAGACTGTTGTTGACATGGCTGATGAACTTCAAAAAGCTACTTTAGATGTCATCGGAAAGGTCTGTAAAATGTTTGGATTTATATTAATTATCATTTTATTGACATTTGTGTTGTACCAGGAAATATTCATACTCTTCTTGTGGAAGGCTTCATTGTTGGTTTGATTCCCCCACCAACCCCAATGGAAGTTCCAGTTTAGCTTCACACTTGATCATTTAAAGCTTATATTCACTTTGGCTGAAAAATGCCCCCTTTTGGGATATGACCATTTTTAACCTCTTGCCTACCAAGTCCTGTGTGAGGTCACTCAGACAAATGAAATCACCAATAGCCCAGTCATGCGAGTTGTCTTGAATAAATGAACTCTGGTCATTGAGAAATGGCTGCCAGTTGCTGGACATATTTGGCTTTGGTAGGCAAGGGGTTAAAGAGAGAGGAAGGAAACCTAGGTACTTTCCATCAAATGTACATATTTTAGGAAAGAGGAAAGTCTCATATTCATTTTAAAACTTAATATTAATACATTAAGGGTTCACCGTATTAAATATATTAATACATGTAGTTTGTACAGTGGGCAAATTAATCATTCTGGACTTAATGGCCAATGAACAGCCACTGTTATGTACAGTATTCAAGCAATCATCCACTGAGTGCGACTGTTTTTTCTGATTTCCTGGTTGATTTAACATTTTGTTTAGTATCTCATGTTAAGCATATTTGTGTCAAATTATTCATTTTTTACTTGATTTTCAAGGTTGCACTTGATATGGAGCTGAAATGCTTAGGAGATAACAACAGTGTTGTTCCCAACTGCCTGTTTAAATGCCCGGAGGGTTATGAAGAAAGCTGCATTGATCCATTGCTGTATCTTCCATGATTATACAAATATTAATTTCAGAAGAATGTCTGTAATTCACTATCTTTTCTAAGAAATCTTGCCAGGGAATGTATAAATCGGCACGAAAAGAGGCAATAGAGAATTGTCAGGCACAACCCAATGATCTTATGGGGATGATTTTACGAGCAAGTCAGTTTGATCATGATGTTAACATGGAGGATCTTGTGGATGAATTCCTTACTTTTTTCATTGCAGGTAAGTACAGTGTGTACTGCAGGCTAGTGTACATTATATTTCTGAGCAGTCCTAATGGATTGTATACTAGCTACAAAAAATTCCCACTTACAGTACAATTGACAAGGGAATGCAATGCTGTTTTAGTTATTTTATAAGTTCAAATAATCAAATTAATAATGAACAGTGAATGGCAGCTTGCATGAGTGACCATCTCAGGATTATCCAGAACAGCAGTAACAACTAGACAGGCCACCTGGATTCACTATATGAGGAGGAAAAGGGGAGGTACTGAGTGGTTTGAGGATGTCTCTTAATGTCCATGAATTTCATGGATCTAGCTATTATAGGAATGTTACAATAATTTAAAAACAGATTTTTTTAGCAATAAATTGATATAATTGCCCGGCCCAAGCCCTGCTAGAGCTGGTCAATACAAGAATCAGGGTTTTCACAGGAAAGAAAAAAAACAACGACCTAGAAAATGAAGACCTACGACTCATAAAATGACAGCCCAGAAAGCGATGACCTAGAAAATGATGGCCTAGAAAACAACAACCTACACACTTTAGAAAACGGCTATGGAATCAACTGAGAAACCTATACAGACTCTGGACGTTTACGACACTGAAATACCAACTGTGGTGAAAGACTTAAACTTTTAATTAGGACTTTTAAACTGTGTAGCGCACCTGAAAATTGTTAAAATGACACTGTTAACGTTTCACTGACAGTCAATCTTGTCTCTTACTTTACTCTACCATGGCAAAATCATGAAAAACCGATAAAAACCGTTGGTAATCTGATGTAAATCATGCTAAATTGTGTTTTGATTTCTAGAATGAAAGAAAGCAATTCATATACTTAGATAAAATATTATCGCTTATGATGATCTATAAAGGCACCAAGATAATACAACTTCTTAAAAATAGTGCCAACGTAACAGCTCCTCTCCATGGATTGCCTAGGGGTCTAGCGTGCAACATCAGTGAGCAGGAGTAGCGTACATGAGATTCTTTTGGCAGGTTTGACTCTTGTTTACAGCCAAACCTACTATTCTTGCTTACTGTAATTGTTCCGTCATATGGGTGTTTAACTGCTTACCACAATGACATATTTGAATGATTGATTATTAAAGTTACTCAAATTGCGTGATGTTGATTTCAACCAATCAGATTGAGGTATTAAGGCTGTGACATGTTTTGAAGACTGACCAATCAGGGTTTTAACATTCATTTGGTGGATGTATACAACGTAAAAAATGATAGCATCCTTGCAGGCCTTCCCCTCCCTCCTTCCTCCTGCACCCCCTTGCACTACTCTCATGCCCAAAACCACGTTTCACCTCCCTTTCAAAAGCCTCCCACACAGGCTATGGCACAGCAGTCTTGACTTTTTTCTTTCTGCTTTCTCTTCTCCCGTCATCTCTTGCTTTTTTGCCTGATTTTTTTCTTTTGCCTGGCATTAAGTCAACTGAATTGTGCTCATCCTGGTATAAATAGAAAGATCTCTTCACCCTGCACAAGTTAGCAAACAAAGTTGTCCTTAACCGTTAAAACTGCATGATGTCCTAAGGGGTCGAAAAACAGTGGATCTGCATGGGCAGTTCAGGGATTGGGTTAAATGGTTGGTCTTTACTGGAGCAGCTTGGTTTTGAGGTTTGGCTTAATTTCATATAACATTATCACAGTGCATGCAGCTACAACTTCTGATCTATGACTCATAATAAGGTTAAAGCTAGTGTCAGATAAAAAGTGAGCAGGACATATATGTTGCAATTAATTTTATGTTTCAGATAATTTTTGTTTTTCCTTTGTTTTTTCCGTAGGTAATGTATGCTAATGAATTTGAAACAAAGGAAAAACAAAAATTACCTGAAATAAAAAATTACCTGCAACATATACAAAACATGGACCCCCAGTCCATGGACCACCCCTAATTTTTGAAGATGAATTTTAACCAGAGGCCTTATCAAATTTTTGGAACCTTATATGGACATAACTGTGGTGAAACTGGGAAACTTATTATCAGGGTTATTTGGCCGTCATATTTTTTTCAATTTTCCATACCAGTGTAATGAGTTTGTTTTAGTTTGTTGGAGTAACCATATTTGAAGGGAACAGGAAGAGTGGTAGGGAGGACGTAGTCTCCTATGCAGCTCTTTTTTGTTGTCATGTTGCTTCAAAAGTGAAATGAAAATTGAAAAATAGCCGCATATGTGACTAAGGAAAAAGTTTAACATCTATGTATTTGTAACAACAACAATCTCGACTTGAGTGAATGACAAGTTACATGAACCAACTTGACACACATTTGACCAACCGCCTTGTTTGATGATATGAAGGTCATTTAATGCTTGATTCATGAGCAGGATTCAAGTAAATTTGCCGAGTAATTAATACTTTAAAGGGCTATCAAGGGAGGGGATGTCTCGGGAGGGTACTCAATCATTATGCATTTCCTTTTCCTCCCTATTCTGCCACACAGCCGTTTTTGTGTTGATCCTCATGCAACATGATGACACAAAAAAGAGTTGACTACCTCCTCCCTACCTCTCCCCTTGTCCCCTTCAAATATTGTTTTTCCTTCCAGACTAAACCAAACCCATGAATAGAATTCAGGAAAAGTTTGAGCAAGTGTATAACTGATGAGGGGCCTTTAATCCTGACAATATACTAAACATTGTGACAGTTTCATCCATAAATTTGTTTAAACCTCTGGTAAAAATTCATCCTCAAAAATTAAGGGTGTTCCACGGGGGTGGTCCATGGACTGGGTCCACAAAGAGGTCCATGGACTAGGTCCACCGAGGTGGTCTATGGACCCAGGTTCCATGTTTTGTATAATGTGCAAGTGAGCACTTTTTGAAGTTTGAAATTGTTGTTATTATATTTACAGGTCAGGACACAACAGCAAAACAAGTCAGCTTCGCATTACTAGAAATCCTCTTAAATGAAAGAATTGAAAACAGGTAGTCTTATGAAGTAAAATTGTTTCAGCTCTTGTTATGGTATTAATTCAACCTCTCAGATTTAATCTGTCATGCCCACTAGTGACAGCTCTGTTTACTGTAAAATATATTCATTTACAGATTGAAGATTCTACTCCTGTTGTTGATAGTTACTTTAAAATAATAATAATATCAATTATTGTTGTTTTCACTTTTTTAGGATTTGTCAAGAAGTTGACATTGTTCTTGGGAACAAAGACACTGTTGAGTATGATGACATTTGAAAACTACAGTTGTTAGGCAAACACTTAAAGAGAGTCTACGGAAACACCCACCAGCCAGTGGAACCTTGCGCAGAACAACAAAACCAGAGAAATTTGGCTCATTCCTGATTCCTAAAGGGGCCAATATTAACTTTTCCATCTATGTTGCACATCACTTACCAGAAAACTGGTGCGATCCTGAATGCTTTAATCCTGACAGGTTTTCAGGCAAAAATAACAGTGAAAACAAGATCTCCAACTTTGTATACTTTCCTTTTTCTTGTGGACAAAGAATTTGTATTGGAAAGGATTTCTCAAGCATCAATGCTTCCATTGTGATGGCACAACTCTTTCAGAAATTTAAGTTTGAATTGGTAGCTGGGCAAACCCTGCAGTGCAAGGAGAAAATGACAATGCGTCCAAAAGACAGAGTCCTTTGTACTATCAAATAAAGATCTACAAGAGCTTAATAAACTCTAGCCTGCGTCACAGTGTATGCAGAGGAAGAAGGGAAGGTAATGCCTGCAATGACAAAGATCTACTAGGAGATTAAGACAGTGTTCACAGTGATAAATGCGCATTGATGTGAAGCTTATCTTTAAATTGCCTTAGAACTCTCTCTTTAGTATATATAACACATCCTACAGACATGTGAGGGTTGCACACTTTGCATCAAAATCTCAAGCGGGGGCCTTGAAAAACTGATTGAGAGGAAAAAAAACCCAACTGTTTTGCGATCTAGATGGGACTTTAAATCCCAGTGCCTGTGGATTACAAGTCCAGTGCTCTAACCACTTGCCAGTATATAATTTCATGTACTTGGTGGCCCGGTTCACACCAAAGCTTAAACATGTTTAAAAGCTGTTTAGTTAAACAGGGTTTAATTTGTTTTCTCTATAATGGCTGCTCACTATAATTTTATTGCTTGCAAATTTAGTGCATTTATGTAACATGTTAAAGTTCATTTGAATTCTGTGTAAAATCCTGTGTTCTAGTTTTCTGTTACTGTTTTTCATCTCTTTAAACCGAGTCTAGTGAAAAATGTTTAGTTGGTGTGAATGTGTGTCCAAAAACTTTACATCCACTTCCAAAGGAGAGTACAGTGCCCAGTGTTTTCCTACTGAATTCCATGCAAAGTCACTAAAGGAACTAATGGGAACACATAGAAGGATGATTTTCTTGGAGCTGATAGTATATTGAATATGGAGAAATCCTATAAAACAATTGAGCTGCCTGTCAAGGTAAAAGGCCAAAGTGCTTTTAAATACATTATTTTTAACTCCCCAGTATGGTCATACTGAGTACTCATTTTGCAGATTTTTTTAAGAGGCTACCTGTTGGATTCCAAAATCCCAGTATTTTTTTGTTATCATTTTTTTTTCCATTTTTAGTTAATCATTGTTCTAATTTGGATTTCTGTGGGATGCCTTGACCCCGTGGTCAACCACAATGTACACTATATGTGTTATTTTGTTTTCTTCTACTGTTTTGTTGCAAATAACAGTATGTATTTGATATGAATACATATATCTTACATACAGTGAGCAGACATTTTTAAGGATCAGAAATTGGCATTTCAGTTGCCACTGAAACCTATGATCCCCCCTTCCCTGCTCTTTCCATGCTATGGCCAAATGATTAAAAATTCCAGTTTCGCTGACACTTGTAGAATAAATTTGGTTTTATTCACCAGTTTATCCTTTTGTGACAGAAATGTATTGTAGTTTCCAAAAAGTATTTTGGCACTGATGACTTTGTTATACTTCACAAACGGTACGCTTCCCTGCCAGCAGAGGTCTCTCGCAACGAGGCAAAAATGAGAGGAAGGAAAGATTCTCTCTCCTTCCTCTCATTTTTGCCACCAGCTTCGATTCTCACTATATTTTTAAACTCCCTCATTATATAACTTCTAAATATATTGCAAAGAAATGTTATGACGATTTGCGTACCATATCGAAAATAAAAGGACCCAGAGGTAATTTTTCGTTTGAAGGGCCTTTGCTCGCAAGGTATTGAAAATGTTTCTGAGGTCACGAGCATTAAGGTAACGGGATTATCATTTTCTGAACTATTCAAAAGGAATTTTGTGATATCTGCATTTTTTGTATTGAAGCAGCCGCAAACTGACAGTTGCAGCCAGCCAGACGATCTAATAAATATATCAAAACCCCTTCAATGCGGGCCTTCGAAACTTGAAACTCGTGAAAATAAGTGGAGGAGACAAGAAAACACAGCCACACAGTAAATAAGACGAAGTTGAAATTTCTAGCGAAATCAAACAAGTTTCAAGCATACTTTCACAATCTGCAATAAATAAAGCTTATATCGCACATCATGATCATCCAATGTCGGATCCATTGCATTCTACAATTTATACCTTTCCCTTAGACATTTAGCGTAGGTTGTTCCGAGATTTGGACGTTCGTTGCAGTCAAGAACACGGATTTTAAATGTTAAGAGTCATGGGCTCACGTTGTTTTTCTAACGACGACAGAATTAGAAAGGAAATGAAGGAATAACCAACAAAGCCAAAAATATGCCATTATCGACATAGCGCCCTTGATGAACGAGATTACCCCGCCGACAATACAAGCAGACAAACAACCCTTAATTATGCTCGACCAGTGTCATCCAAAATAAAGAAACGGCATCAGAAATTTGGAAAAACTTCTTCAAAGGTTTATTAGTTGCAAAGTTGAGCCGTCGAAACAGCATTTTTCATTACAAGTAAATGCGGTTTGCAAAAGTGGAAGTGTATACATTAATATTATTTGTGAATAATCTACGATTATGCACGCCCGATGGCAAAGCCGCTACATTAACACTTAACTTAAATACCTTCTCTCGCTCTTGTTTTTCTGATTCGTGAGAAAAAGGTTAACTTTAAAAACAATACTCACCCAAAACTGTGGCTCTACGGTACAAAATCAACTTAGTAAAGGAAATTTCGAATATAAACTTAATATAAATTGTAGTCGTAATTATCCTAGAGTCGCGCCGAACCCCAGCGCCGCTTCTTCTATAATAAATCGTACCCGCAAGGGACATACTCTATTGTACAGTCATACTTTTGATAACAAAAAAACTGGTTAAAAAATTATAAGTTTAAGTCGTTTTAAATTTATATATATATATATATATGTATATCATGTACAAAACATCCTTAATTTGGGTACAAACGACCCAGGCAAAACAGTTGCTGTGCTGATAAAATTAAAAACGCTTGTCAATTAAACCTCAAATTACATGAAAATAAATCTGTGGAACCGATTTCGCCTGTACCAAACGTAAAAAACCAACCTATTAAGAAGACAAGCCACCGTTTGATGTTTTAAGATTACTTGTTGTGGTTATGAAACGCACCTCTATCCTAGGTAATACTGCTTTTCAGCTCGCTTTAAGCCGAAATCTGAACGTATCAACTTTCTAGTTAATTCCATCGCGTGCTTGGGGATTTCGTGCCTTGGATGGCGTACCTTGGCTTTGGTAGAAAAAGAAACGCCATCTTTCAGTCTAAAAAATACACAGTTTAGAAAATAAAACGAGTCACAGTCGTTCATTACTTCAAACGAACGCTTCTTTTCCCGTATCGGCTTGTAACTTGTAGGTGTCTTTATAGCCACCATCACTTAGGGCATAGCTGCCTTCATCTCTCTTTCGGAGCCGATAAACGAGGAATGCAATGAGTATAACAGCACAAACAGCTCCCACAACCACAGCAGCAATTACTTCAGTGGTAAGTACTTTTGGTACCTTTTCACCTACCATGTCTTTTCCACCCTTTCTCCCTTGTCCTTGTGCTTCGGCATTTGGAGACTCTTCAGTAGAATCCTCTGTAGCGAAATTATTACTAACGGTATTCACACCACCACCGAACACGTTTTCAGGCTCCACCGTGGATTTTGAAGTGCTTTCTGTGATCTCGTTGTCCATCTCAGTTGTCGAGGTAACACTTGGGCTCACAACTGTTACATCCACAATACTGGGATCTGTCGTTGTTTCATCACCTCCATCACCGCTACCACTACCACTCTCATCCGACATAACAGAGCCCGAATAGTCATCTTCACCGTCTTCTTCACCATCAGCACTTTCAACTCGCTCATTGATTACAGTGCTTTCTTTCTGAGGTCCCGAATCGTCTTCGTCAATGTTGATTAATCCATCCAAGTCGTCGGCCATTGTGTGGTGAGATGAAAACATCGACAACCAAAGTGCGTAACAGACGAAGAGAAGCGATTTGTACGCCATGGTCGCTTCTAAATGTTTATCAAATAGCTTTAGAACAGTTCAAAATCCTTATTGAGTCGTAGTAGGGAAGATAGATGTATGAATTGTGTTGAAATTGAACAAAACCTTCCTCGCTTGTCAAGCGTGTTCCTCTTCAGTTGCAAATAAAGCACCCTTGTGCATTCTTTGAACCTAACTGTCAATCAAATTTCGTCACCACAGCCTCCCGCACAGACTACTTGACCAATCAAAATTTTCCATTGAATATTTCGGGTCAAAGGGGTTTTCCGGGCTTTGTAATACGCCCCTGATTGAAAATAATTCCAATTACTCAATCTGGTTTTTACGGATTATTAGCCAGCAGGAAGTTCAAAGGCGCTCGACCGCCCAAAGGTCTTGTTTTCCCTTCATCACCAATATGAAATCGGAATTCTTACAGCATTCCGTCATATCTCTACCGGACTCTCCCGAAGCTTTGATCTTCTAGTTTCGATACAACGGAAAATTTCGAGTAATTCCGGACTGTACTCGGAAAATTTCATCAAAGGCCCAAAATATTCCTTAGCTACAATAATAATCGCTTGGTAATTTCACAAAAATAGAATGGAAACAAAAGAGCGTGAGAAGATTAAACATTGGTGGCAAAAATAACAAGTCACGCAGACAGGCGATTAACCCTATTCCCCCCCCCCCCCCCACCTCTAAAAAAAAGAAACTTCTTATTGTAAACATTTGCTGGAGGGTCTGGGCCATCTCCAATCTTTGTTTGGCAATGAAGAACAATCGGTGCCAAAGAAGAAGCAATTGAAAATATTTTACACGAACAGAAGATATATATCAACAAATTAGCTTTTAAAAGACACAATATGTTCCGGTTTTATTACCACAAATATAGGGTACATATTTGGAATTTGAATGAAGTAGCTTTCAGCATCTTTGGTTACGTGACCCATGATAAAGAAAGCTACTAGTAGAAAGCTAAAGCATAGTTTCGCTTGGACGCAACGTGCTGCAATAAAAATAAGGTCTATTTTTTCCGGTTAGTGACGATAAAAGGAAGCAGGACAAATGTTGTCATCTGAGCGTAGGTGATTGCAGGTACAATAATATTTCTTAAATAAATATTGAAATGTTTGTCATTTATAAATGTGCTCATTATTTTATTAACATGACTCGTTCAGAACTTTCCCCATTATTGGTTATCGCTGTATTCTAGACTTGAACTAAACATTAGCCCTTTTGGACTAGGTTTCTCTACCAATTTTGGCTGCTTTTACTGTTACGTAGTAGTATGTAGACCCGGGGGTACTCCTGAGAATTATTGGTGGGGGTGCCGCCCGGTTCTTCAGATCCTGGCCCGATTTCAGACAAACAATATAATTTTGCACACCCGTTTTCAGACCAGACCTCTAAAATCCATACCCGTTTTCAGACCCGGCCTTTAGGCAGAAATTATGTTATCATTACTTAGATTAGAGTGCAAACAAAAAAAGATTTCAAATTCGTTTCGAATTCGCATATTTCTCTGTCTTTCTTACTCATTTGGAATTGAAACTAGAAATACGTTCATATACTCCGTAGATCCCTCGAAAACCATACCCGATTCCAGAACAAAATGGGCAAAGTGTATACCCGTTTTCAGACCAAAACGGCCCAAAAACTCTACCCGATGAGGCGGCACATACTGATATGGCTTATATGAGGGAGTACCCGCCCGGGGTATGTAGAACATCAACAGTCGTCCTGTTTTCCCCATATCTATATCTTTGGCTTATTTCCAATTTTCTTTTCGTCACTAGACAGTGGCCACGTGGGAGAGAAAATGGCGGCTGGGCAGGGGGAGGGAATATAGATTATGTCTCAAGAAACGGGGAAAATTTTCAGCAAAGAAGAAGAGACTCCCAGCCCTTTCCCCGCTGCCCCCAGCTCCCTTTACCCCAAGGGCTTTACCGCAACTTCCCCATAAAAGATGCCTACTGGCCTTAGATTGTAGCATGCCACGGAGGATTTCTCTTTTAATCCCACAAAAATGAAAGAGTCAATTTAACCGCAACATCCTTGACTGTCACAGCTCAGAACTTCCCTTGATTTTAAATCTTTGGAAGTATAAAACTGATACCAACTGAGTGACCGTTTTACCCGACTAGCAGGCAACGTGTAAATGTTACTTAAAAAAGTGAAGCAAATTTATTAGCATAGTGACATGATAGTGAACTTTACGGCGCAAAACCAAGACGTAATCAAAACCAGTATGTATTTCCCCTTGCTTTCGTCACCCTACCCTCCTTAGGTACTCAGGGGAACGTCCCTGCTCCACTCTCGGGAAATGAAAGATGTAATGTTCTGTCTGGTCTTCTCTGTGGTATTGTTTCCTGAGCAGAAAAATGTGTTAATTTGAAATTAGACTTAGAAGATTGTCTTGATTTTATTAGAAAGAATAAGATTTTGAAATCGGAAATCCGGCTAAGTATTTCTTTAAACCATGCCACCATGTTCTATTAGAAAAATCATGAGGGCAAAAAAAAAAAGATCGGCGAACAAAGCGAGCCGAGCGTTAGTCATCGGGGCCGGACAGTTACCCGTGTTTTGCGCTTTCCTCTACTGTGGAGCCTTGTCCCAAGCTACAGTAGGGAGAGTCGCTGACTAAGCACACTATTTTGAGCCTCTTACGTTTTTAGTATTGCCGTTCACGTATTACACATCGTTCGTAAATGTACTTAACAGCAAGGCATTGACACCAAAAACGTTAATTATGTCTGTTTTCTTTCAAGCATGATGGTGCAATATACTCATATACATCATCACTTGGTTCTATATATGGCGTAGTTACGTAAATTGTCTGTTACCTTAGTTGCTAGACAAAGCATCGTCAGGATCGAAATCAGGAACAAACCGGTGTTACTTCGAGCCGTGGGAGGGCGAGGAGTGGTGCGGTGGTTGAGGAATGAATTTTCTCACTCAAATGGCAGCCAGGCAGCCAGGAGCCCATGACCCAGAGGAAATTAGCCTGCGTGACAGGAGACGGTTAGTTTTTTGGTTAAATTTATTTCTCCTTTCACAAGAACCGGCGCCTGCTATGCAGGCTAAGAGGAAATGCACTCTATCGGATGTTTTAACTTTGTAATTATACTAGTAAAACCACAAAATTTTTTAATGTTAGTGTGACTTAGTGTGTTCCCACATGCATTTAGATAAGACCGAGTAAATAAACTGATTGTCTCTCTTTTTTTAATTAAATGATTTGCATGCAATGTACGTACACTTAATATATTTTTTTATGGACATATCTCAGAAGGCGTGCTAGTAAATAAAAATCAGATGTAGATAATATCAGTCCTGCTCCTGGTTCAGCTGAATGGTCACAAAATTTGATGCTGCGAGACTTGCGCGCACCAATAATTACATCACGAGTATAATCTACTTGCTTTAGAGCGAAGGCCGCCTTAAACTCGTTCCATTGCCGATGCTATACTTTGGACAATCATCTTTGTTTCGTTGTCGCACATAAATGTATGGGATAACCATATTTATAAAGTGGTTTCCAAACACCCATTACAGCTGTAATTCATGCTTAAACATTTCTTTTTCCTATTTCTTTTTTTACTGTTCTCTTCAAAGAAATTAGAATCTTCAAATATTGAGCCTCTTTTGTCAAATGATTTTTTAAGACCACTTTTATGAGGGTCTTAATGGGGTTAACCGATAGGCGTAAAACAGCCAAAAATTTAGTCGATAGCCGTGAAAATTGAAAAATTTTAACCGTTAGCCGTAAATAGGAGAAAAAAGTGTTAACCGTAAAAGAAATTGTTCCCTAGATTTGTTAATTTTAAGGAAGATGCTAAACTCACTTATGGTTGCGTTATTTATTTCCCGGCTACTTTGACTCCTTACGCAAGTTAGGCCAAGCGCCATTAAGTTGTGACCTAGACCTAGACTCCATTTCCGCCGCTCTCTCAGGGAACTTATTTTTTCCATGGCAAAAAATCTAGCTTCTTGTTGGGGATTAAAATTTGCGATTTTCAGGAAGTCGTGCCCTCGAAATACTAGTGAAACAACACCCAGAGATGTCACTTTTTGTAAAACACGTTGCCGATAAACAACAATTCCCTGTTTTTCTCTGACGCTAAGGTAGACATTGCCATGCCTAGTCCCTGTTCGACGTCTTCCCACGCAATCTCGGTGAGGGCATTTCGGTGGCGTATCTGAGAAAAAGACTCGCTCGGACCACGTGACCCGAAACGCATTAGCCGCGCGGAATAATGAGGCCTATAGACAAGGCAACGGCAGACAGTCTTTCTGTACAGTCCTTCGCTATCAGTAAAAACTCTTATCACCGGAATTTTGTCATTGGCCGTTTTTAAACTAGAGCAAGAAATGGATTATTCGTCTGGGACTGGCCTGTGCACAGTCGCCCCCCTCCCCCACCCCCCTCACAGACACCCCTTCTCCGATTTTTTCTGAGGGGAGGGGGCGGCTGTACATAGCCTATCTGTAACGGATAATCCATCTTCAAACTGTCCGTCAAAATTGACGGATAAAGTCAGGCGGATTGTTCATTCAAAATTAAAACCCTTTCCATTTCAATTTAAGACGTATTACCTATTACCGCGAATTATCAAACGGATAACCAATCTCACACGAATAATCCGTCTCTAGTGTGAAAACGGCTATTTCTGTTATAAATGAATGTCCCCCTCCCCCATTCCTTGAATCACGGGGCGTCCGCGTGTCTACTTTTCCTTTTTCACAAAGATTATTTTTAAATTGACTATTGACATTTCTATGAGTAAAATAATATTAGAAATGGAATACTTTATAAATAGTATGATCTATCTGAAATGTTGATTTTTTTCCATAGAATAACTTCATTTTATCCCGAGATGATCCTAAGACCGTTATTTTGCTTTGAAGATACAAAAATACAGGCTTATTAATATTTAACCCTTTGAAACAAAAGAAATTAATTTTAACTTTTTTGTTAACCGTAACTGAAAAAAATTAACCGCACGCTCCCACGCCCG